TGTTTGTTTTGTTGTGTCCTTCTTTTTGTTTATCTCCTTTGGCTCGGATGTGTTTGTCTCTGTTTGTTATTATCTGGAATGTGTGTGTGTGTGTGTGTGTGTGTGTCTGAGTGAGTGAGAGACAGACACACTCCGAATGTGTGTTTACTCATGTATGAAAAGAGATGACCAAAATCCTAGTGTGAAAGAGAGTGATAGGAAAAGATGGGGGGGGTTGGTATGACAAAATTAGATAACAAAGGAAAAAGAAAAAGAGTGTGTTTGTCCCTATGTGAAGGTGTGTGTGTGTGTGTGTGTGTGTGTGTGTGTGTGTGTGTGTGTGTCTGTGTGTGAGTGAGAGAGAGAGAAAGCAGTCTTTTGATGGAGAGGGACTGAGCCAGCCACTGCGTGGGGGAGATATGTGTATGCGTGTGTCGCTGATTGTGCCATGAATGAAAATAAGGAGTGAGGGAGGGGAGGGGGAGGAGGATGAGGAGGATGAGGAGGAGGGGAGTGGGACTGTGACTCTCCTCCCATTCAGCCATCCCCTCCCCTCTCTCCTCGCCTCCTCCTCTTGAGTGACAGACGAGGGGCTGCTGGCAGCTTGCTCAGGCGCGCGTCAATAATTAGCATCCTCTCTTCTCCTTGTTTTCATTTGCTCTTTCGTGCAAAAGGAGCACTTGTCGCAACGCGCCGAGCCGCCGGAGCGTAGCCTATGTCGGTCATTCTGGATTTCTCCTGTGCAGCCAAGGGTGTTTCATCGGGTTTACAAACGGCGCCCCCTTCTCTTCCTCCCGCCGTATATATTGCGCGCTGTGCAATTATGGCAATGGCCCGTGATCGCTCCTGGCACGCACGCACACACACACACACACACACACACACACACACACACACACACGCTAGGATGGACAGATGCGTAGAAGAACATAGCACACAATCTCGGTTGCTTTTTTTTCTCTCACTTTCATAAACAAATTCGTGGCCGCACGCATTGCCAGTCAGTCAGTCGCACACACAGTCACACACGCGCAGCGGTTCAAGGGCAATTGATTTGGAGTTTAATTTCTCTCCCGGTGCTCTTGACGCAAAAGGATGCGCCTCCGTCTGACCTTGACGACAGACAGGGAGAGTTTTGTCTCTGTCGCCAGGCTCACTCTGAAGACGCGCACGCACGCACACATGCACGCACACACGCACGCACACACAGCATCCTCACCTGGAAATGTCAAAACCTTCCATGTACTATTATAAATGAACGCTTTCCATCTGCTTTCTAATTATAGCCAACATAAGGCTATTCCTAATTTTAGCTGCAGCCGCGAAATAGTCGTCTTTTAATAATTCATGAGTTCAGACACAGAGCCAGCTCCTATTGGCAGGGTGTTGCTCAGCCGCTGTAAAAAAAAAAAAAAAAAAAAAAAAAAAAAAAAACAAGGTGGAGAGGGCTGGCTTTTCAGAGCACCGTCTCCTCAGAGATGAGAATGAGTTCAGCTTGTAAAGTTCTCAGTAAAAATAATTAGGCGCTTTAAGGAGAAGAAATGAAGATGTGAGGCAGACAGACCTTCACGTTTCTCCCTGCTCGGTTTGAAACAGTCGGCCTAAACAACGAACATTTTAGTTTATAGTCCATTTTTTATTTTTATTTTTTTTTTTAAAGATGATGAGTATTGGACAGTTTGGAGATCAGTGCCACCAGATGCAGGGAAGCTATGAATAGGCTAGACGTCATCGCGCCTGTGTACCCAAGAACCATTTCGGCGCGCTATCCTCCCCGGGATGCGTTTGTTTTGATCAGTGCGGATCTGAGTGAAGCGTGATTTTGCCTACAGCGCTGACATCAATCGAGACGGACAGGGGTTAAAAACGACTGCCTCTGAAGAAGCGTTTGAAAGCTCCTCTCATCTCAGCTCGCCATACGCTCTGACACACACACACACACACACACACACACACACACACACACACACACACACACACACACACACACACACACACACACACACAGAGCCCCGTTTGTGTGTACACTTTGAGGGGGTATGCGTGAGGGTAGTGTTGTGTTTTTCACTCCAATATATTAGTGAGAGAGCTGGTGACGCCTTCTGAAATAATAAGTGTGTCTACTGTGTTCAGCTGTTTATTTCTCATCAAAATCACGAGATTTGTTTTTGCCTTATTATGTAATTTCAGTGAAACGTCATTACAGTGTTTCAAGGATTAAGTAGGTTAGACCTTATGAAGCAGGCTCCTCATCACTGGATTTAAGAGGCTTTATGATATTTTTTCTACGTGTGACCTTATAAGTCTGTAGTATTTTTAATGATACTTGAACATTATATATAAATGTTGGATATGCAGGTACATGTATCTGTTTGTGGTGCAATTATAGTTTTCAAGAAATGTGTTTGCCAACTCAGGCATAATTTAAGTTCACTGATGGGGGAGTGGGGGAGTGGGGGAGGTGTAAGGGTCAGGGTCGTCGAGGACTCAGCCACACACACCTTTGGATCAGTGGGAGGCAAGGGGAGGAAGGGGGTTGCTCTCTGTTGCCATAGAGACGGGGAGGACAGTGGTGTTGGATACTGTTACTAGGCAGGAGAGACTGCCACTGAATGAGGTGAGAGAATGTGGGATGGTCTGCTGTGGAGGGTAAACAACATCTGGGCAGAGTGGGAGTGACCGGGAATAGTGTCAATGCTGTTTTCTTATTTTCTCAGGACAGGTTGAATAAAAATATGAATGAAATCTGGGAAAATGATAAGAAGCATGGGCCATGTGAAAAAAAGCGTTAACTAAATAAATACACTGATAATTCTAACACATTTTAACATATAACATCCAAAACATAAATGACCATGTTATGGTCACTTTAGTCATTTGTTATTGTACAAGTCTAGTAAATAATCTAATAGTCACTCCTATGAAGTGCGGCAACCTTGTAGACTAGATAGCCCAATTTTTTTCCAAATTACATTTCCGTTCTTTAAGTGTTTGTTTTCAAACTTTTTTTCCACAAGACATATCAGCTTCTTCATGGGGACACTTTGTGATTGTATCGTTAAATTCTTATGACCTTCAGTATAAGTGAGAGTCATAAAATGTAGCCTTGCTTGAAAAATCAGCTCATCACACCGAGGCACAAAGTATAATTCACTGGCTACAACCTTAACTCAGGTAGCATCACCCCTGTAACGCAGATGGAACCCTCTCAAACATGACCATGGGGCCTGAGTGCCACCTAGTGAATTTTGGCCCGTAACAGCTTCTTGTTCCTGAGCTCCACAGTCATAAATGTGGTACACTCGCTCCCTCTCCTGGGGGAAGATCAGTATGTACCTTCGTTTACTGTGAAGAAACCAGAAATGATAAATGCGGTGTTTTAAAAGTTGCCTGTAGTTTAACACTTTTGCACCGATGATTAGAGGGAGATGAGAGCACGTGGTGTCAAAACAGATGATATTTTTTAGACCTAACAAACAAATTTTCATAATTAAAGAGCTATTGTCTCTTCTTTGAGCAAGTCTGTGTCTTTATCTCAGTTAGAAAAGACAGTAACACATGCTGAACGATATAAATACAGTTTATCTACAGCTACCAGAATGATCTGACCGTCTTCGTCATCCCCTTCACGCCTCATCCACGGGCTCCTTATCCCCTGTCATGAAGAACACCGGCTCTGTCCGTGGTGCTGCTTTAGCTGTGACCCTTCAGTACCACGGACAGCTCCTCGGCACTTCCTTCACCACCACGCACAGAGTCCTGGAAACTCATTTCGCACCACGGCCCGGGTGGTCTGTTTTTCTTTGTTACACGGACGTCGTTGGTGTTTTCCTGCAGCACCGCGGACAGCGCCGTGAGCTGCCCGGCTGCTGTCATTGCTAGCGAGGCAGCACATGCTAAGCTAAACATGTCTGTCTGCTGGAGCAAAACTGCAAATTCTGCCAAACGTTTGATCAACAGATTTAGAGACTTAATGCTTTTGTGGACGAAGAAACAGTTGTAGCCACGTGCATTTGAGCCTTTTTTATATCCATGGAAACAGATTTTCAAAAATCTCTTCATTGATCCTTCAATGATCTTTGCAGTTCCAATACTTTATGGACACGAGATCAAATTACAAGGAAGTTTATAGGTATAACTAGGTCAATCATCACAATTTACAGATCGTCATTGTCACAGGTGTTGCACTACTTTCTATTTCAAATATTTACTTTAATTTATTTTTAAACCCACATTAAAGGGAAATCAAGGAGGATATACAGTATACTGTATATACTCTATGTCCCGAAAAAGACTGACAAAAGGGTGCTTTTACTCAGACTGATTCTCAAATCAGTTACTGAATAAAACTTAAGAATAAAAAAATAGAGAAAATGAATGTTGAATGTTATAATGTCAAAGAAATATTGGCTTGACCCACACGAGCAATTCGTGTAGGAGTGCATACAGATCTGACTCATCTTTAATGGTTCACAACTGGAAGACATTTAACTTCAGGCCTAATGGATGTACTTTGTGTAATTTGCAAAATGAGAAACCTTATTTATAGTTATTACAATCTGGAACTGCAGGCCTGTGAAATCTTCATTAGTATCTCAGTGTAAAATTTGACTCAGTGCTCATAGACTGCATGTAGTGTGGTGATTTCAAATTTTGTGTGTGTGTGTGTGTGTGTGTGTGTGTGTGTGTGTGTGTGTGTGTGTGTGTGTGTGTGTGTGTGTGTGTGCGTGTGTGATTGAGGCTGCATACATGTTCAAGTAGTTACCAGTATATGCTAACAGGTAAAGGTCATGGATGATGGATGGGTTTTCTCATGTGTTATTTTAAAGCTGCCCACTGCCCGAATTTGACAAATGTGATATGTTCTTCACTTAATGCGACCTCTTACTTTTGTACAGTGCGTTGTTAGTCTATACCCCTCAAACAAGCACATACATTCACCTCCACCCATGCATAAAATCAAGACAGAGAGGGTCCATATGTCTGCAGCCACCTACACACACAGAGCGTTTTGTCCTCACTTTTGTTTTTATTGCACACTTTAATCATTTAGTAAACAGATCTTCACAGTAACAATGCAATAGCAGAAAACAGAAGCAAATCACTGTGCGGTGCAGCTTGTTAGGTCTTCAAAGTATTTATAGGTATTTACACTGAGATTATGAAAACAAGTTATCCCTGTGGTGGGATGGGGCATTTTAACCCCTATATCACCCCCAAAGCAGACTTGAGTCCAGCTCCCAGGCTTTTACACTGTTTTTAGTTCTATGAATCCTGTCCATACTGCAAACCCAAAAACATTCAAGTACTCCATTTCTGTCATTGCACAGGTACTGGGTTAGCCAATGCACAGGACTCTTAAGGAGGAAACTGAAAATTGCACTGGCACCACTTCAACAACTTAATGTCCAAAATCCAACAGCTCAGTTCTTTGTCTATCATCCGAACATAAAAATAGTACCCAAAGGAATGTCAATTTAAATAGTATCCAAATGCTAAATATTTCCTGACGTATAAAGCAACATGAAGCAAAACCATGACCTAGAATTTATTAAACCACTTTCACTCTTTGTAACGCACCAATAAATAGTAATTTGGACATTAAATCTCATAAAATGAAACAACATACAAACTGTAACATTTTGCATTGCATAAATTGTAAAATTATATCAGAGCAGACGAGGAAGGTAAGAATGGTAGTGCACTTGAATGTAGTGACATACCATTTAATAAACAATAACCAGCACATCAGTGTGGACTGTTTACATTTAGAGTATTTTTGGTTTACAAAATAATGTTTGTGTTGTGCTGTTGTACTGCATGTAGTGGGGAGATGGGAAAGTAAAAAAAAAGAGATATAAAATTGGAATAAGGCAAAGTGAAGGTATTGTTTGAACTACAGTGAGAAATATACTTGAACTGATTTATGCTGTTCAGAAGTGTGTAATTATATTTTCAATCGGTCTGTTCCAAGTCTGTGCCAAGACAAAAAGCTCACGAAGACAGATCAACAGAACACACTTTTTTTTCTCCTTGTTTGTGCCAGGCCTGACTTAGCTTTTCCCGCTGATCTAGTCGACTGCAGAATGTGAAAACTATATTTTCTAACATGTTTTACAAAAAAACTCTCCTAACGCCCACACACTTTCTTAACCTTTTCATACATCGTGATAACTGATAAAGCTTATTGTCTGACCATGAGATGCCCAGTCAGTTTAAGTTCTCATTTGGTTATGCACTAATATAATAAAACACATAAAACAAGCTGATACCCTCCATATTCAAAACAAACAGGACAAAATCAGAGCACAGCAGTGGTTCCTTTATGTCTTATACAACATCTGGTAAAACAAAAATACATCTGTATCTAACAAATACAAAGCCTCTGTGTGAGCACAGTCTTTCATTGTATCTGTTTCTTCTATAAACACACTTCAAAGCAGGTTCCATAGAGGCAATGATGGCAAGTCTTGGAATTCACTGAATTCAGCTTGATATCAGAAGTGGGATTTCTGGTCCAATCCCATTGGTCAGACAGCCACAGATGTGGTCCATTGTCCATGTGTCATTGGTGGTCCCCGTCACCTTGGAGCGTTTCCCTCACTACCTGTGACCTGGGCTCCTGTGGGTGGCTGTGTCCCCGACTAAATCCTCCTCCACAACATTAACATAGCCTTCTTTCTCCACGCAGCCTGCCAGGACCTGCAGCACCAGCCGGAGCCTGCGGTCCATGGCCTGGAGGTGAGGCTGGATGAGGACAGGGGACAGTCGGTCGCGCAGCAGAGACTCCTCCATCATGGAGCTCAGCTGGTAGTCCTCTTTGGCCAGCAGCTGGAGACGCAGGTATGTGGACTTCCTCACCCTGAAAACATGGGAAGAAGGATAACTGAACAGGTGACTTCAAATGTGACTAATATCAGGACAATTAGTGTTTGCTGCATATATTCTATAAACAAGAGATATATTCATATATTTTAACTTTTAAACTTTTGTTAACAAAAGGGTTAATTGTTATAGCATTCATTTCATACTAATCCACCTTTAAGACATTTTTTGTGACTGATGTTGGCATGCCTGAGTGTAGTACTAGACAAAAGCTCAGCTCTTATGCCCTGGGGAGGAGGACTTTACTTAGCATTTTTTATGGTAACTGCCCCTTAAGATTTTGATATTTCTTGTGCATCAAATGTCTGATGTTGACAATGCAGGAGCCGATAGTGGGTGACCAAATACATAATGACTTATTCTCTAAAATCGATGAATAGACAGTACATTTCATTTCATTCTGTCATTAGCAGGACAAACAAACAAAAAAGTTGACCAAAAGTCTGACCTGCAGCATTGGCTGAGGGGCACCAGGATGGACAGCTCATCATGGGAGTGTTTTCCAAACCTACAAGATCAAAAGACACAAACAAAACTCTATGACAGCTGTTCAGACTAATGCTTTGTTAGTTGTGATGGAAGATTCTTGGATATTGTTTAATATTTAAGGTGAGTGGACAGATTTTAATTACTTCATTTAATTTCTAAACAATGTCTGAGTCATTGCAAGATGCCAGTGCAACTATTTTCATTACAGAGGATCAAATATTCACTCGTTGCTAAGACAGTTAAAAAAATACATGAATGTTTTACCCTCTTCCGTTGTCGAGGTGAATGATGAAAGTTTCGTTTCCAAACTTCTCAAAAGTTTCATAATGATGACGATCCATATTCCCTGTACAAGGAAAGAGTAAGAAATATGGGTCAGAGTAGGATGCTGTAGTTAATTAATTAGTATTTGAAAGAGAGATATTCATAGATTTATAGGCAATGTCACACCCAAATTCTTCGCCTCTCACCCATTAAGAAGTCAAAGATGGTCATGTCCATGATGTCCAGCAGGCGAGTGCCGTGGTCGTACGGGGGCGTCTGTTTCACCTCATCACAGTAATCTGGGTCCACCTCCCACCTGGGAAAATGTTTTAAAATCGAGTCAGTTAATAATTAGTCACAGAAATGTAGATGATTAGATAATTAGCACAGACCAATCAATTTCTCTAGAAGTCATGAGGTGTGTCAGTGCTGACAGATTCATGAATCTGGTTTACAAGTGTCTTTTCCTTACTCTGCTTTCTTGCGTTTGTGGTAGGAGCGTCTCCAGGGGTTTCTCCAGGTCTTGCGTTTGGCCAGGTTCAGGTCTGGCAGGAAGGCTGCGAGTGAGCCTTCGATCTGGTCTGGTTTCCCGCACAGAGCATGCTCAGTGGAGCAGTAGTAAGAGCATTCTCCATAAAAGCAGACGTTATTGGCTGAGAGACAAAGCAAACACGCTGGTTTAGAAATAAAGTCAGAGGAGGAGCAAGACGCGCTTTGCCAACTGTACATGTGGCTGAATGTGAATGAGGAAGTAATTAAGACAGTGAAGGTCCAGGATGGTTTTCTAATCTCAGGTTCAGGGTTCAACACAGTCTTCCTATTGACATGATATGAATGTAGATCAAACTGGCCTGCTCAAAGCATCTCATTTGAATTTTACCTTTCATTTCTCTAAATTGTTTAATCAAAGAATCGTAAAATCTTACACGATTGTCCTTGATATTCTTAAAACCAAATTACTTAATTTATCTTTGCACTATAGTTTTAAAAACAGTTGCTTTAATGTTTAGCAATGACATCTTTGAGAAAGTGCAGCCTGGCAGCTACTCCTTTGTGGCAAATGACTTGCTTTGTATAGTAAAAATGTATTTGACACACAATTTGACTTTTTCTTTGCTTTGATTTAACCCGTAGTTTCCATTATAATACTTCATGTCTTGATTTGTTTGTCACAAATTAAGTTTATTTACCCTTAATTAACATTGTATATTAAGATATATAGTTAGTTAGTCCTTTTGTGAGTAACCTGACTTACAGTGCCACCCTCTGGTGACTTTTGGCTTTGGCTTTATTTATGATCACACATGCAATATTCTTCTCATTTTCACCAGGACATACAAACATACACACGTACACAACCACACTGTGTGTATAACCCAGTTTACTTGTTGTCTACATTCATGTTGTCCTGTGCTCTGTTTAAATGGGATGCGAGAGACTGTGCCAAACTGCAGAGGCTGGCAGAGTCACTACCTGGTGAGATGAAGAAGGTCCTCCACAGCTTCTTATCACGTGTCACATCTCTGATCTCCCTCGTCATATTGACAAGACGTCCTGCCACCGGGGGCACTCTCCGGAAGTCAAGGATCCTGGAGCCAGAGTCACATTATATAATATTTAAAACCCAGTCATCAGGCTGTTTCCAAATTCCAAATGTTACTGTCTTACACAATCTTTCTGACTTTACTTTCCTCTGAATGGATGCAGCCACAATGCACCAGGTCATTCTCATCTGTGGCAATATACTGTACATCATCTGTCCATTATTGTCTAAACATCCCAAAGAAAAAGTGGGACATCGGGATCTGTTTCTTCACAGAAGAATAATGTTTAGTGATTTCCCATCAAACTTGTCAGCATAGAACTTGATCTGTATGGTTTCAGCACAAAAGATGTATTAATAATTCATCATCTTTACATTGCTTTCTGTCTGCCTGTGTGATTGGAAACAAGGAGGTTTTACAGTGTCTGTCTCGCCAACACAATGCAGTAGTCATGATTTGTTCTAACCCTCTGCTTATATTCAGATGGTAGAGAGCAGGTTAATTCCACTCATCCTGCTCTCGACTTCTTGTCCTCCCATTCTCTCGCTCCATCTCCGTCTGCATCTCTCTCTCATTCTTCATGTCGGAACATGATACCTCTTCAGTCCCTGTTTAGCCTGTCTCACTCTATGTTTTGTGTCCAAATGACCCTGAACCAGTGTGAGACTTAAACTAAGCCCCCTGGGAGCAGGCAGACACACAGACAGACTGGCTGAGTGGAACACAGTTGGCGAAACTTAAGCCTACAGAGGACAGCATTCACGAGCAGCAAACTGCACCGTCACGTAGGGCCCTGGTGACAAAGGAGCACCTGTGAGTGTGTGTGCGTGTGTGTGTGTGTGGGTAGGTATTTGCATCTATTTGTGTGCACACCCCTGAGTCACAAGGAGTTCACAACAGATGGTGAGATAGTACAAAGAACAGTGAGATTTAGAAGTGATTACTGGAAAACAGTGATGTAACAAATCTTCACGATACTTTAGTGCATTTCATGAGAACTGTCTAGAATTAAAAATCCAATCAAAGAAACTTTTAGTTGAGCAAAACATCACAGCACTCCTCTGCATTCCTGATTCAGAGGCCGAGCAACTAGATTTTAATTCATAGGCAGCCCTGCAGGATGCATGCAAACAAAAACAAACTGCTCTTTATGGCCAAGAAACTATGTCCTAATGGTGTGTCTATGATTTCCTGTTCGGCTTGATTTTCCTGCCCATGCAAACACATACCACTGACCTCATCGAACAGACAGTGAGCGAGCGAGCGTGTGTGTGTGTGTGTGCGAGAGCATGTGTGAGCTAATTACTATGCCCGCAGAAGACTTTAAGACGACCTGTGGTCCATTTATCATCCACCCCCAGAATCCCAAACCATCATATTTGACTCTTCTTAGCACTACTCTCTGTTGAGAAGTCTTTTTTTAAAACTTGTCCTTAGAGTGAAAGGATCATGTGGAAATCAATATCCTCAGCAGCAAGGAGAGGAGATGTTCCCAGCTGTGTGTTATCTAATCCCTCATGTACTTAATCCTATTCAAATTTTCACAGCTTAAATCCATTATGGCGCACCTCCGGTTTATAATGGGGGTTAAAGTGTCGCTGTCTGTGTGAACGAACATGTGTGACTTGCTATTCTTCCTGGAACACACTGTGAAGGATGATTTGAAAACGCACTCTTAACAGGAACCAGATGAGTCACTGAGAGATCTCACAGAGCACAATAGTTTTTTTTTTTTTGGGGGGGGGGGGGGGGGGGGGGGGGGGACTCACCTGTCCAAGTGAAAAGCAGCAATCTCAGCATTGTGCCTCTCGAAGTCGGAGAAGTAAAAGAAGTCTGGAGGGGTTTCCTGCTCCCGTGTCTGCCTGAAAGACAGTGGTTTACAAGGAAACATTAAACATAACATCAGCAGGAAATGTTTTTAGTCAAAGCCGTCGTTTTTAATGTGATTTCTTTGTACTCATGTATTTTACATTTTGTGTTGAGATAAGAGGAACAATAGGAAATAAAATAATTATAATGAATAGTTAGACTTATTGGAAAGCCAATAATCATAATAATCCTGAACTGAAAAATGTTCAAATTGGGGGGTTGAACAATGAGAAAGCTGAAAATGTGAATTCATACAAAGTCCTGGAGCAACTTTCCTTGTATCATCTGTCTCTTGAGTACTGACTCATCAGGAAGGAGATGATGTTACAAACAGTATTGTAACAAAGATGTGCTTTAATGTTATGTGTGTTGTCTTTTGATTTGAGACATTTCTGCTCCCGTCTATGCTGATCTCCTCAGCTTTCATCAAAATTTCGTTTCCTGCAGCGTGAAACTCATCTCAGCGTCCCTTTCTAGGACACAAACTGACGCAGGGAGACCAAAGCCTGTGTGGACAAGGCTGCTGAGGGGGAAGCTGGATGAGATTTCTGCTCACATCCTGCTGTCATGCTCCCAGCAAACACACACACACACACACACACACACACACACACACACACACACACACACACACACACACACACAAATAGACAGACTGCTATAGGCCCCTTTGTGTCCGTCTTTCTCTCTGTCAGTCTGTCCGCTCGTCTGTAAGCAAGACATTATCTCTCCACGCTCACACACTTGTTTTTTCTTTCTAACACACATATGTAGACACACCTGAAATAACCTGCACTGTAACTGCTCTGCTTGCACACAGTCAGCTAAACCTTACACACACACATGCACATACTGTATCCCCTCCCTCTCTACCTTCCTTTATCTCTCCTCCCCTCCTCCACTCCATTAGTGTGGATTGGACTTCAGGGTGGAGCAGTGCATTATTTTCCCTCCCCCTCCTCCCTGTTTTCTTTAAAAAAAAAACACTGACAAAAGAAAATAACCTCCCCTCCTATTCTTTTACATGTCATTGAAACCGTCATTTACAGAAATTGCAGCCATTGTGACCCCTTCTTTCCCACCCAGAATAAGGAGGGGTGTGATGGTGTTTTTGTTTTCAGGGTGCATGGCAGGGGATAAAAAATACTGCATAGATGAACAGGGAGTGGAGTAAAAGGTGACCTCAAAGCACCTGTAAATGCACCTTGTTATCATTCAAATATGCCATTATCAAGGCACGTTGTGCATGTATAGATAATCAGGGTTGCTGAAAAGGCTCAGCGTAAAAAAAAAAAATGCACCGAGATGTGAAATTTTTCCTCACATTTTGCCCTGAGTTGAACACAACAACAGCCTTTACTTGAATAGTTTATTCTCTATGGCATGTTAGCAAGAAAGAGAAAGACAGTCTAAAGTTGAAGCTCTTCTCTCTCAACAAGGAAATGCTTCTGATTGTATTGACGTCCAAGCTTTTTGACCATATATGAGTTTTATATTATGTTTCTTCCCCGAATTTACTTTGCACTGTGCAAAATATGTTACATAAACCTGACTGACAGGCATTACAGGCTTTGGTTTCCATGGTCACCAAGATGTAGAATGCAATTTCCTGTCAGGGAGGAAGCTCCTTAGAATTTTGAATGTAGGCAATAGCAGGTTTGTGATGTGAAAGCACACACACACACACACACACACACACACACTGAAAAATGAAAAATCACAGTTACCCCTCACGGTTATGTATACACAACTCCTTTATCAGTGAGTGTCCTTGATAATAAAAGCCCCTTTATGTGAAGGAGTGTGTGATTAGGCTACAGCAAACGTGCTGTTCATAGTTCAGCAGAATCTGTGTGTGTGTGTGTGTGTGTGTGTGTGTGTGTGTGTGTGTGTGTGTGTGTGTGAGTGTATGAAGTGATGAAACTGAACTGCGGGCCTATGTGGCCTCAGTTTGCGCTGACTTGGCAGTTTTAATGCTCTTTCATGAGCTTAGACCTGCACAGTGGAGGGTTATATTAGAGAAAGATGGGGGGGGGGGGGAAAACCACAACAGCTGTGGCCCAGACTCTGCATACACACTCCTCTTTTTTTTTTTCTTTCTTTCTTTCTTTCTTTCTTTCTTTCTTTCTTTCTTTCTTTCTTTCTTTCTATCTCTCTCTCACACACAGACACGCAAAATACACTGTCACAGAGCCAGACTGCAGAGAGGGGGCAGTAGAGACAAACCCAGTGAGAGAGACTCAACGTGCTAAACACTTTCATGTCACCTTTGGGGGTGAAGCTGATGAGAGCAAGTCAGCAACTTTCTTCACGCGTGCATGCTGAGTAAAGATGGAACCATATGTAGTTTGTTTTTCCCAGCTGGGTGGAATGGGCTATTTTAAAATGACAGGAAAACATGTCTGACCGAGCAGTATTCAACCTCTATCCAGGGGAAAAGGGTGCCAGGGTGGCAGGTAGAAAAACTGTACAGTGCCTACTCCCACTGACCAAGTGCTGCAATAATCCAACATATAAAATGATATAGAGAGAGAGGGAGGGAACACAGGAGATCTGTCAACTATTGGTAATCCACTGCAGATTTTAGCCCACCACTGACAGGCTTCTTTGTCTCTGTCTGGCCCTATGTCCTGTGTATTTGTGTGTGGGTGGCTGAGAAGACATGGGTAGTGCTTGGCTATGAGGTCTGGGTATATTCAACTGCAACACTCACACATACAATTGAAAGGATCGTTAGCATAGAAGATGTTTAGCTATCAGTTACTTCGCCATTAAAATATCAGTATCAGACTTTCCCTGTTGTGATTACAACTTGGATGTTGGCATGAACCCAATTAACAAATCAGAAACTTGAAATTACGATAACTCCGATATGACATGAATGCAGCATTAGCCTGGCTCTCTTATGTAGTCAGCCATAACAAGCAATCAACCCCATCAACCATGTAAATGGCTGTAACTAACAAGACAGTGAGTTGCTCTAATGCATCCTATGGGCTTAACTTGTTCAGAGCCATGACAACAACATATGGCATTGTAGTGGCCAAAGCATAAAGAGTCATAAGACTACAAGAAGAGAATAACAAGAAGAAAATTTTTGCATGCAGGTTACTGTTTTGGGAAATCTGGATTTTCATTTGGGGAGAGATAAAAGGAGACTCAAGAATATTAGACCCTGCTTCGTGTTTTCTAGTTTTCCCATCATCCACCTCCTTATTTTTTCCTCCTCGCCACTTTTTTTCATCATGGCACAATAAAGACAACAGATAGATAGTTTACAAAATGTTTTACTTAAGTGTATACCTTTTTCCCTCCCTCCTCACATTGATTACTACAGTCTATGTTTTCAAAAGAGCAATGCCTCATCTGCTGTGAAATTGTCTGCTAAGACTTTTTTTTGTGTGTGTATGAGTTTGGGAGAAATGCAAGTGCGATTAGTGTGATGTATTCAGGACACTTGTGGGTAAATGGCACCTTGTAGAGTACTCACAACAGCTCTCAGGGTGACACACAGGTGAAAGGATGGAGGACCGGATAAAAGATAGGGAGATAAAACCTCTTCAGTCTGGTGATTTGTGTCAGAGGGTGCTTGTCTGTCAGCAGCACCACACACACAAGTATCAAAGAAAACATAGGCAAAGACTGTCAAGGTTGCTGTGTGTGTATCTATACATTTTGTCTGTATTCCTGACTCTGCATCTGCTCATTTCTCTTTATTTTCCTCCACACACACTGCTTTTTTTTTGTTGCATCCTCCAGAATCGGTATCAGAGAGGGATCTAAGAACTGGCCCAGGGCCCAAAGGTAGCTGTCTAGATTGAATTTCAAATCAATGTTACACAAGTTGTGTTCAGGTCTCAGCTATTTTCAACACTCAGGGTGAGACACTGCCAGGAGGGAAAAGCGAGTTATCTGCATGTGTGGGAAGCTGTATAGGCGGCAATATATTATCATGAGAACGCTGGTAAAAAGACTTAACTTGAAGAAGAAGGATGATGGCCAAAGTCAGTGCTTATATTTCAAAGTTATCAGAGACTCATGAGGCGGGAGAGAGTGTGTAATAAATAGGAAGACTGAGCGAGGTTATTGGTGGTTAGCTTTCTGCTGTATGAAGAATTCAGTAAAAGTAGGTTCAGAGGTATAAATATCTATTGATTGGTCTTTTATCAGAGTTGGGTGCCCTGGGGAGTCATGTTGTTTCATTAATGATCTGCATTAAAGACATGAGTCATTAAAAGTGCAGCACATGATGTTTCACATTTTGCTCCACCATGCAATTAGTTTAGTTTTGGTCTCAATATTGGAAGGAAAGCAAAAAAACCCTGCCACCCCTCAAAAACAAAGAGATTTGCTTTTTAATGCCATCAACCAAATGGTTTACTAACCTTCAGACTGCAAGGTGTCAGGTACCACTACAACACCACATGAATGGATCAACGTGTCATAGTATAGTAAGGCATAAAAATGTCAAAAAAGAGGGAGCACATGTAAACTCCACACAGAAAGTCCAGGATTTGAACCTGGAAACCTCTGACTGCAAGGTGTCAGCTCCAACCACTACACCACCTTAGCAGGTCATGACTGGATTCACAGTAAAGTAAGGCATAAAAACATAGAAAAAACGTTGTAGTATAGTAAGGCATAAAAAACTAAAAAAAAACGTCATAGTAAAGTAAGGCATAAAAAAATCAAAAAACGTCATAGTACATAAAGACATTAAAATGTCATAGTATAGTAAGGCAAAAAAACATCAAAAAACTTCACAGTGTAGTACGGCATAAAAACATCACAGTATAATAAGGCATAAAAATCTCAAAAAACGTCAAAGTATAGTAAAGCATAAAAATCTCAAAAAACGTCATAGTATAGTAAGGTAAAAAAATGTCAAAAAACGTCACAATATAGTAAAGCATAAAAATCTCAAAAAACGTCATAGTATAGTAAGGTAAAAAAAACGTCATAGTATAGTAAGGCATAAAAACATCGAAAACGT